CGGGATTGAATAAAAGGCCCTGATTTTATGCCACCAAAATACAAGTCAGATGTCTAATCTACAGAAAAGTAAGATAAGACACTGTTTTAAGGTTCTGCGTTTGTGATCATTTGTTACATCAACAATAGAAAACAAATACTAATACTTGCAGAAATTGAGGCCTTTAGCCACAGAGCTAAAGAACACACCAGACTCAAGAGTCAGAGGAGCTTAGGAAGACCCAGGGAGCCTGGGGGCTGCTTCATTTCAGGGTGAGTCAGCACATCAGCTGTGCTGTGTGTATGTATGTGTGTGTGCATGCGATGAAATAGCTGCTGTTTCCTTTCACTTTCAAATTATGCCATACAGGATAGAGGATTCTGGGAAATTTAGTTCAGCCCAGCCACACTGACACGTCACAAAGTCCATATCCTAGACCTCTCCTCTGAGTTTTCTTCCTTCCTTCCTTCCTTCCCTTTGAGGAAATTAATATCCAAAAATTTTTACCTTACAATATTTAAATGCATTCAGGCTATAAACAGAAAAAGAAAGTACTCTCATGAGTCTGGAGTACTATGCATATGTATTAATGTATATGTTACATACTAATTTATGACTCATACAAGGTGAGCTTCTTCTAAACAACAAGCTCCTAACTGAGATCTAGGCAGTTTCAAACTGAGTATTTTATGAAGATGAATGGTTTTCCTGCAAATTGTCACTACTGTAAAAAATTGTATTCCAAGATGCAAAGCATAGAACATGGGAAAATGAATAAAACTATAAAAGGCAGAAAGAATATATAGATTCCAGCCCCCTCTTCACTCTGTCTGATCTGGGCAGGCTTATCAAAAAGACATTACCTACTTCTCTGAAATTTAATTGCCTCATCTGCAAAACAAGAATGAACTCTTCAGCTTCCTTCAATTACAGGAAGCTGATAACTTTGAGTTATCTGTGATTTTCTGACATCGAAGGGTATGTAATGGAAAGAATGGTCACTATGAGTGGCTGTTCTAAACGGGTTTCTTAACTTCTTGATATAATCAGCCTCTGTCCATGAAGAAAACAGGCGAAGAGTAACCAGATACATTAGGTCCCCTACCTACGAACCTTCAAGTTTCGAACTTTCAAAGATGCAGACTTGCCAGGTGTTGCAGTGTCCTGCTGTACTTTCCAAGGTGCTGTGTGTGTGTGTGTGAGTCACTCAGGTCACGTCCAACTCTGCTCTCCCATGGACTGTAGCCCACCAGGCTCCCCTGTCCACGGGGTCCTTTGGGTAAGAAAACTGGAGTGGGTAGCCATTCCCTTCTCCAGGGGATCTTCTGAACCCAGGGACTAAACCCAGATCTCCTGCACTGCAGTCAGACTCTATCATCTGAACCACCAGGGAAGACCCAAGGTAATGTACTGAAAGGTTAAAAATGTTTTTGTTTATGTGTCTGTTAGCTTTTTTATGTATTATTTGTGTGAAAGGTATTATAAACCTATTATAGTATGGTATAGTGTAATCAATTGTGTTAGTTGGGTACCTAGGCTAACTTTGTTGGACTTATAAACAAATAGGACTTTGCCAATGTACTCTCTGAACAGAGCTCGTTCGTATGTAGGGGACTTAACTGTAGATAGTAGCTATCAAGATATGTTTATCAAAAAACTTAACTGAATAGAACAGTAAGATCAGTGGCTATTCTAAAGTTGTAGTCCCTCTCTGTGGGGGCAATTATCAGCCTTTGAAACACATGGAAAGACTTTTAGACTCTGTGGGAGAAGGCGAGGGTGGGATGTTCAGAGAGAACAGCAATGAAACAAGTATACTATCAAGGGTGAAACAGATCACCAGCCCAGGTTGGATGCATGAGACGGGCGCCAGAGGGATGGGATTGGGAGGGAGGCGGGAGTGGGGATCGGGATGGGGAACACATGTAAATCCATGGCTGATTCATGTCAATGTATGGCAAACCACTACAATATTGTAAAGTAATTAGCCTCCAACTAATAAAAATAAATGGAAAAAAAAAAAAAGAAACACATGGAAAGGAAACTGACCTTACCTTACCCTGAAAAATAGCACAGCAGTGTTAAAAGAACCACAAGTATGTAGTCGATCAAAACAGTGAACCTCTTGAATCTCTATTGTTTTACAATGAGTTTTAGTGACCTTAATCGAGTATGTGCTTTTCTGATCCCCAATTCTAAAAAAAGCAAATTTCAGCTGTAAAATATATTAAAAATGTAACTTATTTGTCATATGTGTTATCTGAAAGGGGGTGGGGAACCTGCTGTGAAAACATTAAAAAAAAAGTTTGACCACATTAAAAGAGTAAGGCACACAAGTACACAAGGAGGGTAATGATTTTTTCCCCCTAAAGTCCTGGCCTGAACATAAGTCCTACCAAAGTCCCCCTTACCAGATGGCTAACCCAGCTAGGGAAGACAGCCAACTTGATTTCAAATGTGAGAGTGATCTTTTTTATTTAAGTGAAAGATAGAAACTGTCTCAACTTCATTACATCCAAGAGGAGAGCTCCAGTGTTCAGCATGTGGGTCTGGTTTGAGTAAAGCGTTTGTCTTTTGTTGAATAGAAATCATATGTAAGCCCAGCAGTGGCCTGAACCATTTGCTAATACTAATTGTTGTTGGTGGAAAGCGGAGGAGATTGTTAAAGTCTTCCCTGGCAGTTACCTGATCTGTGGAAATGGAGTTCACAGCAACTGTGATGAGGTTTGCAGCTGGCAGAGGAGGACGACAGTGTAGACGCCCGCGTCCCTGTCTTTTCTTTGGCAGGGCAGTCGAGACCCTGAAACAGCTCTGGGAGCTGGCCAATGGCCCAAAACGTAGCTTTGGCATCCTTCTCCTCCCCAACCCCTCCTCAGTCCAGGATCTGACAACGAAAACTGAAGCGGGTGTATTTCTAAGAACCTATATTTTCAAAAAATTATTATTTAAGGATGTGGCTATTTTGAACTATGATGAATATAAGTACATTTAAGATATACCATTGGCAAGTTAGAAAACCACCAAGTAAGGCCAGATGTATAAACTGACTTGATGTTTTAATTTAAAACACCAGCATCCAGTTGAAAAGGTCTGTTATGATATGAGTCAAGTCACAGAGAATTCATACACAAATGAGGCTGACCTCTTGTTCTTGGAACCTAGAAACAGTTGCCTTTTAAAATGATTATTGGGGGTGCGGTGGGAGGGAAGCTCAAGAAGAAGGAGATACACGTATGCTCAAAGCCGGTTCATGTTGTTGTACAGCGGAAACCAACACAGCAATGTAAAGCAATTACATTCCAACTAAAATTTTTTTTTAATTTTTTAATAATAAAAGCTGAATGAATGAAAAACATAATAGTGACAAATGCTGAATTGTCAAACTTGTGATTTGTGTTGTTGTATGGCAGAGACCAGCACAACACTGTAAACATTTTTTAAAAATTTGAAAAAGTGATGATGATGATAATAATGAGATAAGCATCTATTGTTTCTGTTTTTCCAGGAGTAAATAACAAATTTGTAAATAATAAGTAAAATGATTGTTAACCTATACATCATCAAGATAAGAGGACTTTGTTAGTTAAGACATTGGATTATAAAAGTGAACATTTGATTTTATGCTAGCCATGACAATATTTGAGGATCCAGTTGTGTTGTATAACATATACTATAAGTCATCTTGTGTTTTAAATTGTTATTTGACATGTAAAAATTTTGCTAATCTATGATTACATCCCTTTCTGTTTTAGCAATTGTTCACTAATACCTAGAAATCTTTCCCCTACCCCCACCCCAATCAACACTACAGGAACTGTGTAGGAATCTGTTGTTTCAGTTTTGTTGAACATGGAGCTACTTAAGATCGCAATACTTCATATTTTAGTCTGGGGCCATCTGGATGCAGGTATCAGAGATTCACATAAAGTACCTCAAGCAAAATTGACAACTTATTGACAGGCTGTAGTGGCTTGCTTGAGCTTCCCTGTGGCTCAGGCAGTAAAGAATCTGCTGGCGAGGCGGGAGCCCTGGGTTTGACCCCTGGGTTGGGAAGATCCCCTAGAGGGGGGCATGGCAACCCACTCCAGTATTCTTGCTGGAGAATCCCTGTGGCCAGAGGCGCCGGGTGGGCTATCGTCTGCGGGGTCGCAGAGAGTCAGACACGACTCTGACGAAGCACAAACAGGGGCTTGCCTGGGGCTTCCCTGGTGGCTCAGGGGTAAAGAATCCACCTGCAGTGCAGAAGATGTGGGTTCGATCCGTGGGCCGGGAAGACTCCCTGGAGAAGGAAATGGCAACCCACCCGGTATTCTTTCCTGGAGAATTCCATGGGCAGAGGAGCCTGGCGGGCTACAGTCCATGCAGCCGCAGAGTCAGACGTGACTGAGCGACTAAACAACAGCGACAACAACCAGGGCTCCTTCTGCCTGATGGGGAAAGAGACCTGAGCACAGCTGACTAAGGAAAACACATAATAATATCCAGTAGATATTCTAAATGTACTTTCGAGAATAAAGAGTGCTGCGTCTCCTCAGTGCTCATACATTTATCAGCTTTAATTTAATAAATGTAAAACCCTGCATATGGTTCTTTCACATTTGCTAAAGTTAACACTTTAGCTTTTCAGCCAAATGTTTACAATCACCATTTTACAGACAAGGAAACGCAGTCCCAGAGCCCTGAGCAGACGTGGGACTCAAAACCCAGTCTCTTTCCATACACCTTCTCATCTGAAAAAGAGAAAAGAAAGTGCGATTACTTTGGGAAAAACGTAAAATGGCCCACTCCATTGGGAAAAAAACAAAAAGTAAAAGAAGAAGTAAGGCTTTCTGCCCGTGGAGGCCACCGAGAAAGCATCGTTGAAGACTTCCCCGCCTCCACTGCCGTCATGTCTAAATCAGAGTCTCCCAAAGAGCCCGAACAGCTGCGGAAGCTCTTCATCGGAGGATTGAGCTTTGAAACAACTGATGAGAGTCTGAGGAGCCATTTTGAGCAATGGGGAACGCGCACAGACTGTGGTGATGAGGGATCCAAACACCAAGCGCTCCAGAGGCTTCGGGTTTGTCACATACGCCACGGTGGAGGAGGTGGATGCGGCCATGAATGCAAGGCCACACAAGGTGGACGGAAGAGTTGTGGAACCAAAGAGGGCCGTGTCAAGAGAAGATTCTCAAAGACCTGGGGCCCACTTAACCGTGGAAAAGATTTTTGTTGGTGGCATTAAAGAAGACACTGAAGAACATCACCTGAGAGATTATTTTGAACAGTATGGAAAAATTGAAGTAACTGAAATCATGACTGACCGAGGTAGTGGCAAAAAGAGAGGCTTTGCTTTTGTAACCTTTGATGACCACGACTCTGTAGACAAGATTGTCATTCAGAAATACCACACTGTGAATGGCCACAACTGTGAAGTGAGAAAAGCCCTGTCTAAGCAAGAGATGGCTAGTGCTTCATCCAGCCAGAGGTCGAAGTGGTTCTGGAAACTTTGGTGGCGGTCGTGGAGGTGGTTTTGGTGGGAATGACAACTTTGGTCATGGAGGAAACTTCAGTGGTCGAGGTGGCTTTGGTGGCAGCCGTGGTGGTGGCGGATATGGTGGCAGTGGGGATGGATATAATGGATTTGGTAATGACGGAAGCAATTTTGGAGGTGGCGGAAGCTACAATGATTTTCGCAATTACAACAATCAATCTTCAAATTTTGGACCCATGAAAGGAGGAAACTTCAGAGGCAGAAGTTCTGGCCCCTATGGTGGTGGAGGCCAATACTTTGCCAAACCACGAAACCAAGGTGGCTATGGTGGTTCCAGCAGTAGTAGCTATGGCAGTGGCAGAAGGTTTTAATTACTGTCAGGAAACAAAGCTTAGCAGGAGAGGAGAGCCGGAGAAGTGACAGGGAAGCTACAGGTTACAACAGATTTGTGAACTCAGCCAAGCACAGTGGTGGCAGGGCCCAGCTGCTACAAAGAAGACACGTTTTAGACAATACTCATGTGTATGGGCAAAAAACTCGAGGACTGTACTTGTGACTAATTGTATAACAGGTTATTTTAGTTTCTGTTCTATGGAAAGTGTAAAGCATTCCAACAAAGGGTTTTAATGTAGATTTTTTTTTTTTTGCACCCATGCTGTTGATTGCTAAATGTAATAGTCTGATCATGACGCTGAATAAATGTCTTAAAAAAAAAAAAAGAAGTAAGAATCAATGTGGTTTTCACTCATTTATCAGGTATCAGTCAAAAAATGTCTTAATATCTTTGAAATATTAAAGATTGTAACCACATATGAGAATGCTATCATTGGTTTATAAAATAAAATCTTGTCCTGCTGCCTGGCAGAGCTCTTTAGTTCTAAACAGTTAAAGGAAAAACAGTGGTGTTTTTAAGTGTGTTTTTTATAGTATATTTTAAACAAATTATATTATCCAGAAACACATTGTTGTTTTTAAGCAATTCTTTAAGAAAGCTTCCTTGATTTGGAGACTTCCCTGGCAGTCCAGCAGTTAAGACCCTGCACTTCCAATGCAGGGGCCTAGGCTCAATCCCTAGTCAGGAAACTAAGATCCCAGGTGCTGCATGGTGTAGCCAAAAATAAAAAACATGCCTCCTTGGTATGTTTTTGGATTTTGTTTTGCTTAAAAATCCTTAGTAGAGACTGGAGTAGATAGGCAAAAGTAACAGTGTGCTATACACAAGGATGAAGCCAGTTTCTTGGCTTCTCATTTCCATTTAAGAAAAAAATTTTCCTCTAATGAGTCCTTCTAGATTCATGTTCCAGTTTCTCCAGCTACAAAACAAGACTTAAGTTGTTGCCCATAACAACATAATGTTGTTGCCCAGGATGTTGCCCAGTTCCTTTCACTGGTGCACATTGAACCAGCTTCCATACCCAGTCTCCAGCTCCTTGCCAGTCGCCTCCTCCAGGCTTCCCCCATAGCTTGGCACGCTTGAAGGCAGGGCCTGTCTCAGCCCCCAGGACCAAGCCCAGTGTCTGGCATGTGACTGAAGTGATTCTAGTTGATTAAATGGAACTTGCTCTTCCCGTATGCTTGGTAAACCTGTCTAACAGACCAGTGCTTCTCAAACTGGGGTGTGAATTGAAATCACTTGGGGAGCTTTAAAAATGCTGGTACATGCACCCCACTACCTGAGATTCTGATTTAATTTGTCCAGGGTGTGATCTGAGCATCAGAATGGTTTAAAACTCTCCAGGCAGTCCTAACTAGAAGCCAAGAGTGAGAATCACTCTAATGATCAGATGTTTCCTGAACTGACAAATACGCCAAATGATCCCATGTTTACTGCATACCTGCAATGTCTTAGGTTATACTAGACAGTTATTTCCCCTTCCTTTATGATCCCATTCCCTGGAGCTTTGGAATAAGCAAAGTAACTGCTTTTTAGTTATGGCTAAACCAGTATTTGGGGTTTCCCAGGTGGCACTATTGGTAAAGAACCCACTTGCCAATGCAGGAGACATAAGAGACCCAGGTTCAGTCTTTGAGTTGGGAAGATCCTCTGGAGAAGGGCATGACAGCCCACTCCAGTATTCTTGCCTGGAGAATCCCATGGACAGAGGAGCCTGGCAGGCTACAGTTCAGAGGATTGAAGAGTCTAACATGACTGAAGCTACTTAGCATGTAGCACAGACCAGTCTTTGGCTGCTAAATCAGTATTTAAATCAATGCAATATGAAATAACCCTAAACTTCCAGTGCAATGCATTTTGATTGTGTTTTAAATTGGTTTTGAGCAACTTTTCTTCTAGGAAAAACAATCATTTTACAAGCCTAGGCCCAGGAGACACAGGGAACATAATTTGCAACTCTCACTGCCTCTGATATATAGATATCTTCCATGCCAGTAATCTGAAAAATGTTTGTATGCTCCAGAAGACACACACATGCATTATGTTCATATAATTTTACAGAGTAAGACCACAGAGAGATATTTGGGGAAACCATTTTTACAAATAAATTGGCAAGATTCTGAAATCAATAGACAACATTCCTCTGAGCTCCCTCGGCTTTCGCACCAGAGTGAAATTAACTCTCAGTCAACGATAGGATAGAATGACTGTCCTGTTCTGACTCCCATTCTGGCTCCTGCCTATTCTCATCTCTGTTTCTGAGCAACACCTCACTTTCATCTTCTCTCCTCACTCTCAGCACTTCCTTCCTCTGTGGAGCCATCATCCCTCAAACATGCCGCCAGCGCTGCACTCATCTTTTATATTCTTTGTCTTCACCACTAGACTGTAAGCTTCTTGTGGGGCCATCCTGCGTCTTATCTCTGACATCCAGAACAAAGCAGAGGACAGGGAACACCTTTGACCTGTTAAGTGATTAACAGAGAAGGTTGCTGCTGCTGCTGCTAAGTCGCTTCAGTCGTGTCCGACTCTGTGCGACCCCATAGAGGGCAGCCCACCAGGCTCCCCCGTCCCTGGGATTCTCCAGGCAAGAACACTGGAGTGGGTTGCCATTTCCTTCTCCAATGCATGAAAGTGAAAAGTAAAAGTGAAGCCGCTCAGTCATGTCGGACTCTTAGCGACCCCATGGACTGCAGCTTACCAGGTTCCTCCATCCATGGGATTCTCCAGGCAAGACTACTGGAGTGGGTTGCCATTGCCTTCTCCCAACAGAGAAGGTTAGGCGGTAGATATCTTGAACTAATTAAGCACAGCCCCGGGAATGACTTGAATACACAGACCTTGAGTCAGCGTATTAATTCACAGAAAGGAAAGAACAACATGAAATGTGGCTGTGTATTTTCAGACAGTGCCAATATACTGAAATAGCAAAAGTTCATTCATATTATCAAGTTTGACATTGTTTTCAGCACTTTTTTTGGTGGAGGAACATCAAAGAATTATCATCTCTATGTTTTCATCTATTTTGAAAACTGGTTAGTATTGATCTGTTTCATTTCCTTCATTTCTGCCAGAGAAGGAAAACTAGTGTACATGCCAAGGTTTACCCCTAAAGTACTCAGGCCATTATCTTCAGAGAATGCTCTGGCATTCTTTGGAGAATGTACTGGTATTCACTCAGCTTGACTTTTGTTAAGTTGATTTTTTTTTTTTTTTTACTTGTAGCTACTCACTTGCAAACAATCCACATCTAGGAGGTACTCAGGACCTTGTCCTTATCTGTGGCAGACACTACTAGCTGACTACCAGGCCATTTCTTTGTCTTTCTGGACAAATCAACAAGGGTGCACTTTCCAAAGCTTTGCGATCCTATGTGGTCACCTGACACAGAAAATTATATATAAGTGGGAGTGGTGTGTGTCCCTCTCAGGCTTGGCCCATGAAAATCTCCAATGCACATCATCTGATGATACTTCTTTCCTCTTTTACCAGCATGATGGCAAGTGGTAAAGACAGGCAGAACCACCAGATTAGAAAGAACACAAATCACTGAAACCTTGAGGAGGAAGATTGCTTGCAGGACTTCACACGAGTGTGACTAAGCACTAAACTTCCACTATGACAAGCAACTGAGATTTGGGAGTATGTCAGTCACAGTGATGATACACAACCCAGCCCCGATTCCCTTCCTGATGGAACTCCACACAATATTGATGCAGAAATGGGCACTGCAGCTGCTGCAGTGTCTGGGAGACTTGGCACTCCGGAACCCTCACTGATCCCCCTCCGGGAACTGAACCTACCTAGGCTATACCCACCCATTCCCCCAACCCGGAGCTTCTCCCCGGTTCATATCATGTAGCTCATCAGAGGATGGGATCACCACAGGAGCCTCTCTTTGCCCACTCAGCTTCAGAGTTTAGTGATGGTGGGCAGGTGGGAGAGAATAGAGAGAACATTCCTGAGCATCTATTATGTATCAAGTACCTTGTGATGGGGCTTCCCAGGTGGCGCTAGTCGTAAAGAAACCAGCTGCCAGTGCAGGAGGACATAAGAGAAGAAACCAGCTGCCAGTGCAGGAGGACATAAGAGACTCAGGTTCAATCCCTGGGCCGAGAAGATCCCCTGGAAGAGGGCATGGCAGCCCACTTCCATATTGTTGCCTGGAGAATCCCATCGGCGGGGGAGCCTGGCTCCTATGGACTGCAGCCTAGTACATGGCTACAGTCCATAGGGTTGCAAAGAATCAGACATGACGGAAGTAGCTTAGCACGCACACATGGACCGTGTGATGCACTCCTTCACGCAGGATCTCATTTTCAATGTCACAAAACCCCATGAGGGAGGCATCACTATTTCCCCACTCCCCATCTGAAAACTAAACATGCACACAAGGTTACCAGCTGCTAGTGACAGAATCTAGACACTGATTGGCTCTTCTGCCTAGAGGATTGGTGATGACTCCATTCCGTGAGCCCTACACAGATACACACTCAGCCTGCTTCCCTGTCCTGGGTCTCGCTGGGAGCACAAGCCTCTGGGAAGGTCAGTGTGGGAGCCTCTCCGTGGAAGCCAAGCCGTGTCACAGAGACCAGAGTGGGTGGAAAATGTGTTACCAGCCTTCTCATTTAAAACTTAGAATGTATTTTTCAATGGAA